TGATGCAACACCAGGCATTACACTCATGTCTTTGGATCTTAACATATTTTGTCTTGGTGAATTAAGATGGTATTTATCAATCCACCCACGGGGATCGAATGTGGCACAAGGCCTTTTTAATGTGGGTATCTCTGAGCCCGTAGGCCCAGCCAAAAATAAATAACCATCCAAACCCGCCGAGGCGGGCCAGTTCCGTCAATTAAGATGAGCTACAGTAAAAGGCTCATGGACTTTAAAATTCATTGCAGTAAAAAGTTGTAGACTCTATGATTTCAACTGAAGTCACAACAAGTTCTAACAGACTGATCTTCCTTTTCAACAATCTTGCATTTGTTCATTGAACATTACTTGTGCTGTTTCTTTTTTTTTTTCTTTTACAAGACCAGGTTGCTAGCCTCATGCCCAGTAGTCCCCCTTTCTCAACCAGACTTGGAACCAGTTACACCAGATGCTAAACTGTAGGGTTAGAAGAAAGAATTGTTTTTGTCCATGTGTTCTCCATATCAACAGTATGTAATATATCTGGGTATGTAATCCTAACAGAGTTATAAGTTATTGACATTTGGAAAAACATTCATGAAAGTATGTTTCAAAAATAATATCCGGTAATGCATGGAGAATGCATAGAAAAAAACAATTCTTTCATTTATTTTCTACCCATTCTGAAGGATTTCCATCCCAAAATTCGGACAATTAAAGCGGAGAATATAAAATGTTCAACAATCTTTTTTTAAAAGTCACTAATTTTCTTTCTCTTTTAATCTTGAGCAATGCCAGCTTGGGAAAAATAATTTAATTATTTTAAACACACACAAATGCATACGCATACCATACATTTTTCGTTATCCATTTGATGAAGCCATATAGGCGAAATGTATAATCAGATATTATTTTTGAAACATACTTTCATGAATGTTTTTCCAAATGTCAATAATATATATATAATAAGCACCTTTCCTTTACCAACATTTTTCAAATAGAATGTACAGGCTGACAGATGTAATACATTCTGTTTAATAATATAGAATGGTGAATCTATTTCAAATATGAAGTATCCACTATAATAACAATGAAATCATAAAAATGTTAAAAGTATATCCCTTAATTCTTTAGAAATTGCTTTATTTACGTTTTGGATACAAAACTGAGCAGATATGAAGCTTTTGAAAAAATAATCTGGGTGAAGAGGGGTTTTTCATAAAAAGGGAAAATAGAAATTTGCTTGCTGCAACATTGTTTATTGCTAATCAGTAAAGCATGCCAGATCAAATAGTGGTTTCCTCTCCAAAGGAGGATGCAGATTTAGTCTCTGCCAAAGAACACATTTTCTTGAAAATTTCTCGAATACGTAAACTGACAGATGTAACAGACATTGTTTAATAAATATAAATGAGATATCTATTTCAAATATGAAGTATCCACTATAATCATCTTTAAAATAATAAAGATGTCAGATTAAAAATTTTGTGATGTCAACAAACACTCATTACCACTTTTGTAATGTCAACGAATACTTGTTGTCACTTTCGTAATGCTCATTGTAGTAGAGACTTTGTAATCGCAGATACAACTATAGTAACATTGTTGAACACTATTAGTGTCAGACACCTTCAAATAATACTTGCACAAATAGTACTTGCTCAATAATACTTGTTTGAAAAGTAATCACTGAATAGTGATCTGTATAGAGAAATAGTATAGTGAATAGAATAGAGAATAACAATCTGTATAGTAGATAGAGTAGAAAGAGTGATCAATTAGATGCCATGCTAATTCCCATATATACATTTCATTTACATCATGTGGCCTACTTACTAGAAATGGAATCATCTGTGTTTGCTCACTGATGATCTGTGTTCAAACTCCAGTGTCAGCTGCAACACTTCATTCCTATATAAAAAAAAAAAAATAAATCCATCGTTTCTTTAGAAATATATATGTATATGTAATACTATACAAATCCTGTGAATTTAGCTGACATCTGAAGAAGTTCCAATTATATAAGCTTACTTGGAAGAGAATAACTTGACCTGGAAAGACAGTAATTGGTGATGTAAATAGTAAATAATTATTCGATGATGATAGATATTTATGGTAAGCTAAGTGTTATAGCCCTGTTAGGGCCAGAAATAAAGACACGAGTTAAACAAATATATTAACAGAAACAGTAATACAAACATATACAAATGAGTGTTACAGCAAGAATGTTCGGTTCGACTGTCAGAGCTGACTGCTGGAAACATCCCTCTCCCAAAAGGCAATACCTGCTCCTATTTATAGCTGGGAAGGTCTATGCATGCATGGGTAAATTGCCATAACACTAAGCATTTGTTATTTTGAATATTTTTTTTCTGACAATCCTGATTAATCTTGCTTTCTGTGTAATCTAATTTATAAAACTCAGTTTTATTCTATATTCTATTCAAAATCCTGAAATATATATAACATTGGTTATTTTTCTCTGCATGTGTGTAAATACTACATGAAACTGAGTTATCAAATGTTGTTTTTTATCATGGTTCACCTACTCAAACAGAACTTTTTCCCTGAAATGTAGGAAGAAAAAATTGAAATTTTTAATCTGAAATGCTTAATTGATAGATATGAAAAAAGAACTGATTATGAATTTCAAATTTCTTCTTCCTTTGCATTTTAAGATATCATGCAATATGGGAATATTTTGTTTTGGTTTCAAATATTTTGTGATGTCAACGAACACTTGTTGCCACTTTCATAATGCTCATTGTAGTAGAGACTTTGTATTTGCAGATACAACTATAATATGCTGTTGAATAATACTGGTGTCAAACACCTTCGAATAACACTTATACTAATAGGACTTGCTCAATAATTGTCATGGGTCCTTACCTATAACTACAGAACTCTTCCTAACACTATGTATATTAGGCCTCTCAAGAGAGAGGGACGAATGGAGTCGAGCCGATAGTAATTCACTCCAAACCAGACTGACAGTCATACTAACACCTTCCACTTATTAATATTTCGTGTAATATACCTTTGTTATTTCTACTCTGGTGTTTGTGTTGTTCTTCCTTGGTCCTAACCTGGACCATAACAATGATACTCGCTCAAAAAGTATCCACCGAATAGTAATCCATATAGTGATTCGAATAGTAATAGAGGATAGACTAGAAATAGCAATCATTTAGACATCATGTGACTTCCTACTTATGCATTTCCTCTATGGTCACATGGTCTGCTTAATTCAATAATGGGATCACCTGTGTTTGCTCACTGGCGATCTATGTTCAAACTCAAGTGTTAGCAGTGACACTTCATTCCTATATAACAAAATGATTCAAGGATGCTACTAAGATTGCTGAGAATACCATGAACTAAACATGTGAACAACAACAAAGTTTTGGGGAAAATGGCAACAAAAATCACTTATACTTAACGTCAGAAAAAAGCAGTTGAAATTTCTAGGGCATATTGAGGAAAGAGGGTTTGGAAAATTTGACACCCGTAGGACATGGTAAGATAAGAGAGACAGAGAAAAGCAAAGTATATCCTACCTAATGAACTTACACAAATTTGGCAGAACAAGCATTAGGAGATATAGGAAAACAGCAAATTTTGCTAAGGGAGACAAAGAACAGGAAGTTGTTGAGAGCCATGATCACTACATTCTGAAGGGACACAGCACATAGAATAAGAAAATGGGATCAATTTCCATTGCATTTTCATAGCAAACTGGGACCCCCTACTATTAACTTTTATAAAATTTAATTTAAAATAAGTGATATTCATGATCTGAAGTGCTTTATCTATAGTAACATGAATAAAAAATTTTGAAAAAAAAATGTTTCTTCCTACTGTACAATATAGCATATTGGTCATTTGCCCTATGAATCCAATCACACTGGAATGATTTCTTTCCAGTATGACACACTTTTCAACTTCACTCTGTGTAAATATCTAGTCATGTCAAATAAACTTGAATCTGTTTTTCAACTCATTAAAATTATGCTGTAGGCCCTTTGAATTTTTTTTTTTTGTTATAGTGATGTTTGTCCTGTATAAGGCCCAAGAGCCATTCGAAATAGAGGATTACAGAGTAAGAGGCACAGTTTATATGGATATGTAAGGAAGATAGCAGTTGACTCTGTACTTGAACAGACCAAGATTGTAGTGATTGGGGAAGCATTGTCTTGGGAGTCAGTTACACAAAGCAGTGATTTGTGGGAAGAATCTGCTCAAATGGAACTTAATCTCACTAATTGAACATGAAGGGAATGAGAGTGATTTGCTACAATGTCTGTAGTTTTAACCATGAAGTTTACAACTGGAGAAACTAAGGAATATAGTTTACCTGAACACTTTCCATGGAAATAGTAACTGAGTAGCAAGAGGCTTGTAATATTTCCTTAGTGGGGAAAGAGCTTGTTTATTTCTAATTTAGTATTGCTCCATTATTATTCTTAGTTTTAGAACTAAGTTGGTTATTATGTGCCTGTAACACCATGTGAATGTATGGTCCCTACTCTTGTTACAAAACACTATGCAAATGTATGGTCCCTACTCTTGTTACAAAACACTATGCAAATGTATGGTCCCTACTCTTATTACAAAACACTATGCAAATGTATGGTCCCTACTCTTATTACAAAACACTATACTGTTATGGTCCGGTTCCTTGTACCATGGTGATAGTCCAAGGTAGAACCAATAAAGAAGTACTCAAACACATATATGGAATAACACAGATATATTACAAACAGGAATATATACAGAGAAGAAGTGTTAATACGAACAATCAGGTTTAGTAGTAATTGTCTGAATGTGACTCTGTTTCAGACTGCCTCTGACTTGACTGACTGACTCGCTCACTCTGACTGACTGACACTCCTGACAGACTTCACTCCAGACTTCAGACTGAACTCGCTGCTTCCTCTTGAGGCGCAGTATTTATTATGTATGGAATAGTCCATTATGTAACATATACAAATATATGATCCCTTCTCTCATTAGAAAGCACCATGCAAGTATACACCCTGCTTCCTATTACAAAACCACCATGCAAATGTATGATCAGCCGATTGTTATAAAACCACATGCAAATGTATGAACCTTTCTCCTGTTACAAAACATGTAAACAATACACTTGGCTGATATAGTGAGAACATTTTTCTATGTGCAAGACAACAAATGAAATTTTGTATGCTGATTTTCTAGGTAAGCATTTCTTCACCACTTAGAATATTGGTATAACAGAATCTTCCTCAAACCCTTTTTCTTCATTTGGATTTCTTTTATTCTCAGCTGAGCTTTGTAAATATCCATATTAAGGCTTTGGTGAAAAGTTAACAAGGTTTGTTTTTTCATTTCTTTTTGTTCTATCCTAACCTATCCCTCTATAATGGCTGGAGATGTGCCAGTTGAGGTGTTATGAATATAGTTTGAATAAAGTTAAGCTTACAATAATGGACTTGGCCATTTATTTTTGAAATTGGCTTTTTCTGTTGACTGATTGCTTCATCAAAGCATGTCTGAATTGGAAATGCGATTTTGGCCTTTGAGCCAATTGGAAAAATGAATAAATTCAGCCTTGTGGTTTGGCATGGAAGAAAAAAAATTAACATCTTAATTTTATAGGTGCCTATTGTATTTTGCAGAACACATATATGTATATATTTTTTATTCATCGAGTTAGCTTGGACATTCTTGAATCTATCATACCAACCATCATGGTCCTACATTAAAGTCAGAAGGTCATTAGGGAAACATTCTTTGTCATAACACAAATGTATACAACAGTATGTTTATAAATTTTAAAACTGTATTATAATAATAAATAAATAAAATAAGCAAATTAAGTCATGGCTATAGAGAACCTAAAGCATTAGCTCTAAATAAAAGAACTAGGAAGAGCCAGATTCTTCCTTCCATTTTACTTTTATTCCTCCAGCAACCTATATCTAGAACCTGCAAAAGGGGAAGCAATGCTTGGTCTGAAGATTACTCGATGTCTGAAACTGACAGTCACAATGCAGTGTTGATCACTATGTCCATATTTTATATCTATATAAATATATTGTTTAAAAATAATATCAATATATCTTATATAAATATATTATTTAAAATTTATTATATTTGTGGGGGAAGAGTGCTCACTATTGGAGATAGAGCACTTCTAGATATAGACTGTGTGTAGATGGGAATGAAAACTGCATGGTGACTGTCAATTTTATTCTTTAATATAATCTTCAAACTGAGATCTGAAGATTGCATTAGGACTTGAAATTGGCAATCACTATGCAGTGTTTATTTCTCTGTCCACACTGAACAGAGAGGACATAATCTGGTACAATTAACAGTTTGAACAATACCAATACACTCAAACTCATGGTCATGATGACTTGTAACTTTATGCTAGCACAACCATCAATGACCTTCAAACAGTTCTGTCTAACCAATTTCAGTCACAAGGCTTGGGTGAAACTGTGGTACAGTTTTCAGGTACTTTCAAATGGTGTTGTATGCTGATTGCCTCCATCAAAGATACCTTCCTGGCAAATCAACCTTGGTGATATTCGAACTCTGGTCTCATGGCTAGGAATGTTCTAATTATTCTATAACATACCTATAAAACACACACACACACATATATATATATATATATATATATATATATATATATATATATACAGTGTGAAATATACATAAAAGGAAAAAATATAAGCAGTAAGTTGCTAATACCCACTGAAGAGTGGATAGACAGGTCTTTCTATGAACATTGGAGTTGGGATGCTGAAAGTAACATTAATCAGCTCAGTAACATACTTTTACTCACATTAATCATATATATATATATATATATATATATATATATATATATATATATATATGACAACTGGAAACATTCATGAAAGTAGATTTATTAAAGAAATATATCTGATAATACATTTAACCATTTAAGGCTTCAATGGCGAAATGCATTATTGGATATATTTCTAAACATATATATATATATATATATATATATATATATATATATATATATGCATGTTTGATTAAAAATGACAGACAAAGTACTACAATTAAGCTTTTTATTTAATTTTTCTTGTGTTCAAATAAGTGTTTTCTTTTCTGGAAACAGAGTGTGTCGAAACTGCCCAAATGTTCTATAATTCCGAGTGCTTTCGACTACACTTTTAGCCATTATCAAGGATGATTTTATTTTTTCAATTTAATTGGGTGTATGGATTGTTTGTATGTTTTTAGTGTTATAGAGATGTTTTATTTTTTGAACACAGCACATTGTGGTCGTGTCCATACTTATTATTAAGTGTTGGCTTTTTCTTTTTTATTATTAAGGATTCCATTAATTTTAATCTTTTTTTTACATGTGGATGAGGTTATTATGTTTGTATCTTCTACTAGTATGTTTCGGATGGAGTCTGGTAAGTTTGTGTGTGTGTTTAAATGGATTCTAATGAAGCTGTGGGTGCATAGGTGACGTAAGTCATCTGGATAGGCATGTAGTCATAGGTGTTTGTTTTTGGTCTTTTTTTTTTTTTCTTCGGAATTTTTTTCTTGTCAAAAGTATTAGGTGTTTTGACAAATTGTCTGTTGGTCACACCAACATTGTTGGATTCTTTTTTTTTTTTTTCACCATTATGCTTTATTAATGTACCTTCATAACAAAGACTACTGTGAACAATTTATCCACAATTTTAATATGGATGTTAACAAATTAAAAAAATTGATATGGTTTCTATATTATGAATATGAATCCTCTTTCTAAATTGATAAAAAATCAAAATTGTCAATTCTGACAAGTGTTGCAGCCTAAGAAAGGTCGAAAGAATGCTAATCTACAAAAATTATTTTTTCAAAGATTTTTCCCCTTATGAGTGGACCTCTCTATTTAAGTAGTGCCAGCAAAAATTAACAATTTTTTCTTCCACACTCCAGTTTGTCAATGTGATTCTAAAAGAGTATATATTAACATCTGCCCTTTTCGCATGTTTCCTGATTTTTGAAATGAGTAAGCTGATCTCTATAAGAATGACACACAGTATTTTGATACAAAGATGTTTTTGTGAAGTTAGATCTAATTTTAAAAAGGAAATTGTATTATGATGCAGGGGCTTATCTTGAGTTCAGTCCTTTTCAAGTTTCTTTTTCAATATACTTACTTCCTTTTAGAATCACACCAATGAATTATTAAGTATTGACCCCAGTCCAAAAGACAGAACTATAGATTTAATTCTAGTGCTCTACCAATTTGGAACAAATTCTAAATTAAGACCTCTGATTATTCAAGCCCAGAGTTCTAAACATGAGACCATCTCCTCAAGTAGTGTAGACTTTACACAAAGGATGACTGTTGTGTGTAAGCAGAATTCATCTTCATATTGTGACTTTCATTGCAGAACTTGATATACTCAAGTTTTATTATTCATTGGCATTTGGTATTGAGCTGTGAAATTTTCCACTCTCCTCATTGGTTAATCAATGAATGCTTTAGGAAGAAGAAGCAATATCAGATATCACTGCAGATTCCTTAATTGTCTAGGCATACAGCAGTAATACTTCTTCTGTTTAGTTTCTTAAGAATGATTTTGTTTATTTTAGACATTTACCATCTTTTATCAGTTTATTGAGAAAATCTTGTCAGGGTCACAAACCATGACTGGTTTAGAGAGAACTTTTTTTTCTGGATTTTTTTAATTATTACTAGTTTCATAGTTGTCCATCTTACTTTTGTTTCTTCATTTCTCTCCATTGTTCCTTTTCTCTTTCTCTCGTTCCTTTTTCCTTTCTCTCCGTTGTTCCTTCTCTCTTACTCTTCATTATTCTTTCTCTCTGTTGTTCCTTCTCACTTTCTCTCTGTTGTTCCTTCTCTCTTTCTCTCTGTTGTTCCTTCTCTCTTTCTCTCTGTTGTTCCTTCTCTCTTTCTCTCTGTTGTTCCTTCTCTCTTTCTCTCTGTTGTTACTTCTCTCTTTCTCTCTGTTGTTCCTTCTCTCTTTCTCTCTGTTTCTTTCTCTCTTTCTCTTCATTGTTCTTTCTCTCTGCTGTTCCTTCTCTCTTTCTCTTGTTCTTTCTCTCCATTGTTCCTTCTCTCCATTGTTCCTTCTCTCTTTCTCTTCATTATTCTTTCTCTCTGTTGTTCCTTCTCACTTTCTCTCTGTTGTTCCTTCTCTCTTTCTCTCTGTTGTTCCTTCTCACTTTCTCTCTGTTGTTCCTTCTCTCTTTCTCTCTGTTTCTTTCTCTCTTTCTCTTCATTGTTCTTTCTCTCTGTTGTTCCTTCTCTCTTTCTCTTGTTCTTTCTCTCCATTGTTCCTTCTCTCTTTCTCTTCATTATTCTTTCTCTCTGTTGTTCCTTCTCACTTTCTCTCTGTTGTTCCTTCTCTCTTTCTCTCTGTTGTTCCTTCTCTCTTTCTCTCTGTTTCTTTCTCTCTTTCTCTTCATTGTTCCTTCTCTCTTTCTCTTGTTCTTTCTCTCCATTGTTCCTTCTCTCTTTCTCTCCATTGTTCTATTTCTTCTTTTGTCCATTGTTCATTCCCTCCCATTATCCTGTTTGTACCCTCTGTCTGTCCATTAGTTATTCTTTCTATTTCTAGTTTGTTTTCTATTTCTCTTTTTTATCAGTTGTTCCCTCTTTCTCCCCCCCTCTCTCTGTCTATTGTTCCATTTTTCTCTCTTATTCTCTCTATTGTTTCTTCTTTCTCTCTGTCTATTGTTCCATTTTTCTCTCTTATTCTCTCTATTGTTTCTTCTTTCTCTCTGTCTATTGTTCCATTTTTCTCTCTTATTCTCTCTATTGTTTCTTCTTTCGCTCTGTCTATTGTTCCATTTTTCTCTCTTATTCTCTCTATTGTTTCTTCTTTCTCTCTGTAAGTCTTGTTTCATTTATTTCTGTCATTCTTTTTTTTCTGTCTGTTATTCTCTTTCTCTTGTTCTCTCTATCTAGAGTGATGTCTGTCTTTGTTTCTGTCTGTCTTTCTGTCATTCTCACTGTCATCTACATCTGTTATTTTGTCATTTAGAAGGCAACCCATAGCTTATATAAAGCATTGAGTCCTTGACCTTTAATATTCAAATCATGATTGAAGGAATCTACAATACAATACTATTGTAGCAGTAAGCTTATTGTTTTATACCAAGACCAGAAGCAATATTAAAACTTGCTATGAATTTCTATTATTATCCTTATATCCCTATTACTTGCAGCTATTTATTAAAGATATTTTCTCAGGTTAAATCTTCTTTTATGTGTCATCTCCTTTCAGGATGTAGACAATCATGGCTTTCCACAATTTCCTATCTTTTGTTGGTCTAAGTAACTCATGACAATCTCTATCTATAAAAGGCAGGATATGTGTGTGTGTGTGTGTGTAACGAATGCATGGACGCAATGTTTGACGAATTTGCACCAAAATTTACATGCACATGCTCCAAGTTAGCGGGAAGGCCAAGACTGACTTTGCATTTCCCAACTCTCATCGATAGTGGAAATAATTAATTTTTTATGCTTCTACAACAGTTTTCATGTAGTGTGCGGCCATTTTCTACTGGCCAGAGTGAGAGCCTATAGCTGGCTGCCACGAATAGGCAGGAAGATTCTATTGGCCAGCATGAGAGCCAAAAGCTGACTGACACGAATGTTAACTAGCATGCTAGCATGCAAAAAAAATCGATGGCTACATTCGTCACAAGTGGGAAAAATTTAAATCTGCATGGCACTCTACTCCAATTGGCTCATTCGCTTGCTTAAACTCAACGTTGATTCTGATTCCGCAGAACTGGGTTGGGTGTGATAAAGTATTTGTTGTTAACATTCTTTTTTCATTTGGTTTTTCCAGTTACGAGTCCTTTTTTAAAGCTGATTGTTTTGTGTTCATTTCATTTAGTTCTTTTTTCATAACAGATTTAATGTTTAGTATAGAGCTTAGAAAAAATTCGCAGTGTGAAGAAGTAAGGCATGTAGCAACATCAGCACAGCAAAGGACACTTCTTTAAAGGCAAGGAAGGGCAAAAATATTTTAAGTCAAGTGATAGCGATTGCTGTATGAGTTGTACGATTTTTGAATCAAGCATGGGCAACGCCGGGCCATGCTGCTAGTTTACTATAATATTATACCTTTATGGATCTTGTACTGTCATCTATTGACTCAAATTAAATAGGTTACTTGCTGTTTCTCTTACCATTGACCATCCTGGGTATAACGATAAACTACATCCGGCAACAAGACCTCTTGGAGGTTTTAAGGAGCGTGGAACCACCTCTTGATTGCTGATGTTCCCAAGTTCATCCTGACACAGGGTGGTAGCACCTGTTAGGTTCCCAGCTATGGGAAAATAGTTAACCCCCTAAACTGGGTTCAGAATATGAATGTATAAAAAATTTCATAGCAAAAATACCAGCAATACATTTTTGTAAAAGAAATGACTAATGCTCATAAGAAAATTGAATTTTGGCATCAAATGACCCATAAGGAGTTGATATGCCGTTAAAGAAACAATTCATTCATTCTCTTAGCATTGATATGACTTGTGAGTGTTAAGTTCTCTAGGCCTTCTTTTCTCATTATGTGTTGCCAAAAGTTTAACTGTTTCTTTTTGAGAGCAGTATTTTGTTTGAAGTTCATGTTCTCCTTAAGGCTTCTTAATTTTTCACACACTCTATTCATAGTATTCTTAATATTTGTTGAGTGAACCACATCTCTGTCACTTAAAATCTTTTTTTCATCTGTGAGAAAACTATCTGATATTCACTGCCAAAGGTTACACCAATGTAACTTGAATGGCCCTAGAAATACCAGCTAGAACTCAGCATTGTATTTCTGATGTTTCTACAAAGTCATGGCTTGACTTGATTTTTTGATTACATGTATTTATTAGAATAATTGTTTATGATATAAACATTTCTTAAGGTTATTTCTTTATCTATTGTATATTATAGGGATGGATATTTTAAGGTGTCATTTAGATAAATGTATACTATACTTTAAAAACACTTACTTGATTTCTTTTTGGATTTCTTCAATAAATAAAATATTTTTGTTTTTAATTTTTAGATGAGGTAATTTTCACTATTAATTTAGGACCAGTATTACTCCATTTTTATTATTGTTGTTTTTTAGATCAAGATTTTTCAATATTAATGGCTGGCCATTCATATCCGAGTATGCCTGTCTGCTAGGATGGCTAGTTCATCCCTGTTGCAGACGTTTGCTCAGGCATGTTTGTGTTTGTTCAACACCCATAGACTCCACTTGTGGTTTATACTGCAACTATGCTCAGTGGACCTTAGTTACAGTTTCAGAGAGAGAGAGAGAGAGAGAGAGAGAGAGAATCATCTGGCTTGCTCAACAGTAGAACAAAGCCAGTATGCTCAAACCATACATGGTAAGGACTTCAGGCACTTTCCAACTGTATTGCATGCTGGGATCACCTCCTCAGGTTGATGACATCAAAAAGTTAATTTCTTGAAAAATCATCCATGGTGAGATTTGAACCCAGGTCTCATGGTTGGAAAATGAACATTCTAACCACTTGATCAAGTGTCCATTCAATATTATTATTTATATTTTATTAGTTTTACACTGTCTAATTATTATGTTTTAGATGAAGGATTTTCTGTATTATTTTATAAGTAGTTTATTTGTCATCTTATCTTTTATATGTAGTTTATTTGTCATCTTTGTCTTTTATATGTAGCCTTTTCAATATTATTATTTTACTAGCTTAACAGCCACACTCCATGCTGACTTTTATGCTAGCTCCTGCATAGGGCTAATTGCATTTCCAGCCTAAAACTAAAAGGACTTTTGGTTCAGCTTAGAAAACCACAATGATAATTTTGAAGAAATAATTTTGAATTCCTCAATTCATTCCATGGAATTTTAAAACCTCACTTAAACTCTGATTTGGGCTATAAGTCCAGTTCCAGCCAAAAGATTGATTTGGGATGAAATTCCCATTCAGGCTGAAAATTGAGTTCTTCAAATCACAAACTCTGTGGAACTTCAACTGAGTTGAGTTCTTCAAATCACAAACTCTGTGCAACTTCAAATAATTATATCACAAAACCTCTCACTTTAACTCAGATTCCTTGGTTTGAAGAAATAAAATTGATTTCCTCAATTCACAAAGTTTTGGAGATATTCAAAAATGAATTTATAACAAAATTTTTAAATTCACAAAGTTTTTGTGTTACTTTAAATTCAATATAAATTAAAAACTTTTAAAATCACTAATTTTTTTTTCAGTTATTTTAAAATTTGAATTTTTAACCATTTCCTCTTCATCCAGACACAAATCCCAATGCTGGATATTGAAACACCAGATAAAGGGCAGATTTTCAAAACCTAGATCATCCGATTTCCAAAAAGGTATAATTTGTCTATGTAGAGCAAATGAAGTCTGAGTTAGTGGGGTTTCAGATACATGGATGGACAGACAGAATTTGCTGTTTATCTAGAAAATTACTTAATTTACTAACTTATATTTGTTTCTTTTTATCACAACTCTTAAAATAGAACTTAAAAATGTTTTATAGGTTGTTAAACAAAAATGGCAGAGAGAATCCGATAGAAAGATCTTGCAGGTTGATTACAGATTTGGGCTCTACACATCATCTTTTGTGTTTTGAAGTTGATATGAGCCAAAAATACAAATTATAAACTATGAAAACTCCCACAGAAGGTAGTGAAAGAAAGCAAGAAGAAAGGATTAAATATGAACTGCAAGAAGACAAAATTGTTATACTGTGGCGACCGAAATTTTTTTTTTTTTTTTTTTCACCGAATGAATTCGAATCTTCATCGCCACTTGTTATGCTGTGGTGAACAAAATTTTTTTTCTTCCAACGAATGAATTCAAATCTTCGTCGCCACTTGTTATGGACCGGTTCTTTGTACCACGGTAATAGTCCAAGGTAGAACGAATAAAGAAGAAAGCGAACACAGGTATGGAATAACACAGATATATTACAAATAGGAATATATACAGAGAAGTAGAAGTGTTAGTATGAACAATCAGGTTTAATAGAGAGAACAATGTAGTCTTGACCAGTATCACTATTCCAATGTCTTGCAGTAATTGTCTGAACGTGACTCTGTTTCGGACTGCCTCTGACTCGACTCTTGACTTGACTTGAACTACTGATGATATTCAGTCACCTCCCCCCCCATGAGGGCGTCATGTGGCACAAGGCTGGTTTAATGTGGGATCTCTGAGCCCGTGGGCTCGGCCAAAAATATGCCCATTAAACCTGTATAAATGGGTTCAGGGTCGGTTTACCTCCCCAAAAGAGAATCTGCCCTTCAGCGTAGCCTCCTTTGGGTTCCTCCCTGCCCGAAGGCAGAGAGTTCAACGGATCAACCGGTCAAGACTTGAATGACTGACGATATTCAGTCCCCACCCCACACACACACACTGGGGCAGCATGTGACACAAGGTCAGTTATTTATTGTGGGTTCTCCAAGCCCGTGGGCTCGGCCCAAAAATATGCCCATTGAACCTGTATAAACGGGCTCATGGCCAGTTTACCTCCCTGAACGAGACTCCGCCCCTCGGCATAGCCTCGTTCGGGTTCCTCCCCACCCGAAGGCAGAGAGTTCAACCAATCTGTCGTTCAAGACTTGAGCGACTGACTCCCTGCCTACTCCTGAGGCGCAGTATTTATTAAGTATGGATAATGGGTAAGATCCCATAACAAAAATGCATGGTTGTTAGCAAAAAGATGAGCCAGAAATGCAAATTACAAATTGGAGATAACAAAATCAAACAAGTACAAAAATTTAAATATCTGTGAAGTGTTTTAAAAGAGGATGGAAAGTGCAACATTGAAATCTGAAGTGCACTGGAATAGCAAAAGATGCTTTCTAAAAGCTAAACAGAGTATTAAGAATCAGAAAAACTTTGTTAGAAACAATGAAAAGAGTATTAAACTGTTAAGTGATATCAGTTATCCTATATGGTAGTGAATGCTGGACAATATCTTCAAAGATGAAGAATAGACTTGAAGCAACAGAAATGTAGT